CCTCATTCTTGAGCTTTTCCCTGTGTTTAACACCTTCCCCTTCACTCTGCCTCTCTCACAGCGTGCAAGTGGGCTGTTATGCCATACGGGGATGGGGGCAGCTCGCGCTCAACTTCATCAACGTGGCGAGCCTTGCACGTGAGAGGCACAGTGGAGGTGGAGTTCAAAGAAGAATGAGAAATTTAATGGTTTTAATCTGCCCTCGTTTTTTCTTTTTGTTTTTCTTTTTCTTTTTCTTTTTGCATGTTATCACTGTGCCCGTTTTTTGCTTTTATTCTTTGCTCCGCAAAGTGCGCTCTTTTAGTTTGTAGTGATGTGACAATATATATATATATCGTCACAAACAGAACTGCCCGGTAAACCGCAGGCAGAGAGAGAGAAGAGGACAACAAACGAGGGGCTGTGACAAACTGTTTCGTCGGAGTTTCACCGACTCATCAGGAGGCTGTATATATATTAGTTCATAGTTATGTGACAATTGTGACGATATATGTGCTGTGCAAGGACTTCCTCCATTGTGCTCGGTTCCTTCAGTTGCGTCGGCAATACCGAAGACCACGCCAAGAGCATGTCCTTCCAGATTGGGGAGCTTATTGGCCCTTGGATGAAGGAGGGGGTGAGCAGGACCACCCACACATCCTCCACCCTACTTAGACCCCATTCCGTCATCAGGATAATTACAGCCAAGTCTGCCCATGGGTGGGAGGGAACCCTACTTAGGAGGGATACCACCGACCTGGCCAACAAGGCATTCACTTGGAGTTCTGGATTCTTGATACCGAGGCCCCCGTCAGCCTTGCCTCCTGTGACCTTCTTCCAAGCAATTTTGGCAATATAGCCAACTTCTTCATCATCTGCTCACACAGATACCTCGTGGACAGGGACCTAATTCTGCCCCAAGCTAAAGAATTTAGGATTAGCGCTCTTCCAAAAATTGAAGTGCCTTTCACTCCTGCAACCTTACCGATTTTGGAGGTTACCGTTCTTTCCACCAACGTGCTGGCCACCTTCTTGCCTTCCAGCATACCCACCTGCACACCCAAAAAGCACTCACACTCCCCAACAGGTAAGCATTTCAAACCCCAATCCACTGACAAGCACGCATTTCCATTGGTTATTGCGACAAACTTAGACCAGTTAACAAGGGCTTCCAAAATTTGGAATACTGATCAAGACACGGTTTGAGTGCTTCCAGTGATTCCTTGGAATTAATAGACAAACCAAAGAGGTCATCTGCCATGGCAGATCCCTTGCATTGTTTGCCATCCCCTGTGCGCATTCCTTGGATATCTGGGTGCTTCCTAATCAAAGAAAGGAGGACCTGCATTTGGATGACAAAAAGCATAGGTCCCAAGGGGCACCCCTGCCTCAGTGATAGAGAGAGAGGGAAGGCACTGGAGATCTCCCAATTGACCATTACCCTTCCTACCCCCGACAGAAACACTCCCCAAATCCCCCCCCGACCCAGTGTATCCAACACAAATTGCCAGTTGACCCTGTCATAGGCCTTTTCCAGGTCTAAGAGTTGGGTTACTACCTCCAGTTGATCTTCCTTCATGGTCTCTAGGGCCTCAATAGTAAGAAGAACATTGTTCAGAATCTTCCGTCCTTGAACAAAGCCTGCCTGTTCCTTAATAAACCCTGGCAAGTATCATTTGAGGCGGTTGGCTAGGGTCTTAGCGAGAAACTTGTATGAGGTGTTCAATAGGGAGATAGGTCTCCAGTTATGAATGTTCCTCTTGTCGCCTTTTTTGTACAGCAGTGAAATAATGTCTAACCTCATGTCCTCCCCCAGGTCCTGACCCTGTACCATGCCATCAGTCTGTGTTTTTCAACAGCCCAAGTGGCAAAAAGTGTTGACGCTTGCCGGGACTTGGCTTTTTGTACCTGCTGCAGTTCTAAAATGAGACCTGTGACGTCTATCCCTTTCCTTGGCCGTAGCTGTTCTCAACGATTCTGAGTCTGCTGACCATTGTAGACCTGTCCTCGGACTGAGCTGAGACTTCCACTTGGCCACTACCTGATGGCTGACCCCTACTGACTTCGACAGACTACTGCCTACCTGGAAGTTTCTGTACAGCCTGCTGCGAGGTACCCACCTGGAAGTTTCTATAAGGCCGACTGTACAGTACCTACGTGGAAGTTTCTATACAGCCTACGGTATGGCACCTGGAAGTTTCTGTACGCCCTACTTTATGGTACCTGTACAGCCTACTGTATGGTACCTAGACATCCCACTGTACGGTACCTGTACTGCCTACTGTATACTACGTAGCTGGAAGTTTCTGTATGGCCTACTGTACGGTCCTCCCTGCACTACTCACCAAATTTGCGAATTGGAGGATGTATCGTCTGCTAGAACGAGGGAAGATACGCCCACCATAGTTTTTGTCTTTTTCACATTTGGCGAGTGATATGGCGAGGCCCTGAGACGTGTGAATCCTTTCCCTTTTTTCTTCATCTCGCTTTTATGCCATATGTTGTTTTGAACATTTTCCTTGAATTTTGTCTTTTGCGGGTGAACGTGCAACATGCTATGTACTTGCACTTCATGAATTTTATTTTTGCTCGTGTTTCATATGCCATTCTGTGCAGGGTACTTCTCCAGTCGCCATATTTGAGCGAATTGGCAATTTGCCGTGGAGCCACAAGAATTCTCGAATCAAGGAAGAGCTTGCTAGGATTGCTGCAATATCAATAGATTTATTTGGGGCTACAGAACCGTCCTTCTGGAAGCTTCTACTCACCAATGTGAGTGAACATGGTAATCACATTCTACTAGTGCCAATGTCCTCACACTTGGGGAATATGATGGGCATAGTCAATCTTACAATATCACACACTGGCTCAACGATACTGCTAATGAGCCGATGGAAAGATGTTGGAGAAAAAACAGAAATTGGTCAGCTCAATATGCAAAGATAAGGTTGGATGCAATGGAGGCATACAAAGTGGATGCTTATTGGCCAGCAGGCATGTACATGCATTGCAAGCAACTGCCTTTGAGTGTGAAGAGTTTAGCACTGTTCGCAGTTGGGGACAATGAACGAAGGCAATCAGTTGCTTGTTGGTCAATGCCACTGATAATTCTGTGCCACCCACAAGCTTTGGAAATTTTTGTGAAAGCAATGGAATGTGTCTTATGCGTGAAAACAAGAGAATTTCGTGATTGTTCTGACCGACTAACAAGCCGAGACGTTGTTATAGAACATGTGTATCTCCTATCTACCTAGGCTGTTTTTCCGGGCGCCCGGGCACCCAACTTATGCCCGGGTGCCCGGCCGGGCACGAGGGTCACATTAGAATTCCTCACAGAATCGGAAAAAAAAACTAAAATAACAGAATCACACTAAGGCACCCCCCCTTTTAAACCAAGTTATACCCCCCTCCCCCCCGTGACATCCAACTTGCAGAAAAAGAAATGAGCCCGGATTTGGGGTCCTCTGAGAGAGCGCAGAAAACCACACACAAAAAAATAAAAATAAAAAAAATTGGCACGCCCGGGTGCCCGACCGGGCAGGACCGGCCGAGCGTGAGAATCTTCCCAGCTATCTACATTAAAAAATGTTGGACAAAACTGCAGATTGACTGCATGGATTTCCAGGATAATCCACTCAGGCCGGAGGTTTATTGTCTACTGTCACTTGTCCCAAGATAGAAGAAGCCACAGCTACAACGTCTCGTAGCATCCTAGGGGCCGCTACACGGGCCCTTCAGGCCCGGAATTTTTCTCTTCGGCCCCCAGGCCGTGCAGCCCCTTTGGCTAGGTGCTTGGTGGTCCACAACCACGTTTTAGGCTAAAGGTCATATTTTTGTCCCATTCGCATTTCTTTCATTCAGCATTTATTTATTTATTTATTTGTTATTGCTGATTCAGTCTGGGGCTGAGTTTTGTCTGTTCTATTTTTGTCTGTCTCAGAGGTGTCGTTTCCGACTCTTCGTTTTGTTCGTAGTAGGCCAGGTTCAGATTTGTCCGCATCTGGGACTGGACCAGGCATTCATCTGATTGTGCCTGGCCCAGTCCTCAGTACCCTGCTGGATCAGCAGGGTTGCCTGGACGTCCGGTAGGGACCCAGGCAGGCCTTTTTAGGCCAGGGATGCAGGACCAGGACTTGGTCCTGCGATCAGGACCACCGATCAGATGTTAGGTCAGATGGTCCTGATCGCAGACCGAGGAGAGTCCAGCTAGGCCCAGCAGGGTATAGCTGGGCTGGTCCTCCAGTTTGGGAACAATCTGGCTGGAGCATGACTTGGGCGACATGCTGCTGTCGAACAGCATCAGTTGGAGTTGAGCTGCACTTGCTTAGCAGTAGAGGAGTAGGAGAGGTACTGGTAGTGCGGAGGCTGGTGAGCCTGGGCCGCAAGAACGAGGTGGAGACTTACCTGGGTGCCATATCTGGACTTCACTCCAACGACCTGCATCAGAGAAGTCACCATCTTCGCCAGTCAGTATTCATGGGCATCATCAGCATCGTGTGTGTGTGTGTGTGTGTGTGTGTGTGTGTGTGTGTGTGTGTGTGAGAGAGAGAGAGAGAGAGAGAGAGAGAGAGAGAGAGAGAGAGAGAGAGAGGATAATTCTTCTTCTTCTTCTTCTTCTTCTTCTTCTTCGTCTTCTTCTTCTTCTTCTTCTTCTTCTTCTTCTTCTTCTTCGTCTTCGTCTTCTTCTTCTTCTTCTTCTTCTTCGTCTCCTCACCTCCTCCATCATCCATGGTTTTCTCCCCATGTGTGTGGGCAAGGAGGGATCTTTCATCCATGTGACTCCCCTCCTTGCTGATTCAACATGTGAAATGGTGTCTGCCTGAGTTGAGTCTGAGTCTGATCAGTCAGGTCATATCTTTGAGTCTTCCCCTGTGCTACATTGCATTATATCGTCTCGTTTCTGGATCCACATTTTTTATTTGCTGATGGCATTGTTTTTCCTGAGTCCTACAGTTCACATCGATGCTCCTTCGTATCTGTGAATCACTCATCAGCAGATGAGCATGCATCAGTTTGGTATTGGGGCGATCCAGAGTGAAGGTAGCAAAAGCCTGACTCTACAATTAATCAACGGAGCAAATTGATTGGTTGCAGCTGCTGATTAATCAAAGGATCATTTGATTTATTGATTGGTTGATTGATCAATCAGTCACACTAGCTAATTGCCTGCGGTGCGGGCGATGTGGGCGATGCGGGCCACACCCGCAGAAATAACAAATGCATGCAGTGGGTGACCTCACACTGCATTTCGGTTGGCTCGCCTCCAAGATGTCGTCCGCAGAAACAACGACGGCCTACCAGGGGGCACAAGGCGACAGCCGCACGAGAAATGAAAAAATAAGGAAGGAAAAGAAAAAAAACAAGAAAAAAAACTTAAAAAAGGGAGGACACAAAACGCGGGCGCGAGAAATGAAAAAAAGGAGAAGGGGGACACAAAACGATGGCCAACCGGGGAAAGCAAAACCAGCAAAAAGATGCCTGCAAATCGGATGGCTCACCTCCAAGATGTTCGTCCGCATCAATGCCAGCCGTATGCCCCGCCCCGGACGGGGCGCGCGCTCTCGTTTGATGGTGCGCTGTGAACATTTCGGTACGCGCACCCCTCTGCACACTCTCCTCCCCTCAATCGCCTTCATCCGCCACCCCTCACCAAAACTTCGACCTGAATCCGGCGTGCAGCGCGTCGTGGACTTCCCCCCCGCGGCCAATGCTGCTTAAGGGATAGGATATCTGATTTTCAGCGAAATACTTCTCTTGCCTCAAAAATTGCAACTTTTTAAATTTGATTTTATGTTTGATCTATCGAAGTTACTCCTATTTTCTGTTTCATTTTTTTTCCTTAAATTCAAAATTACCCTCTTCAGCGAATGTTTTTCTTGTTCGTTTTTGCAGAAAATTGGAATTTTGCACTACTTCTATTTTTCCTCACTAAAAAATAAAATAAATTAACCGGATTTGCAGTTACTTCAAATTTTCCCTCTCTGCAAGACCTCTGATTCTTTGCGTTGCTACGATCCTGGCCACGAGAAAGCACAATGTCGTCCGATTGCAAAAAGAAATGAATGAACTTGAGAGGAGAGAGAGGGGAAGAAGAAGAAGAAGAACACGTACACCAACAAAAGCCCAATGGTAATTCCCCTTCCTTCTCGCCAACCAACTCCTCCTCCTTTTCTCCTCCCCTCTTATTCAAACAATAAATAATAATACTAGTGATGAATGGCAGAACGAGAATCAATGTTTGAATCCCACTCCTATTGCTTGGCATAACTAGACATCCACCATAGCCATGGCCTCCATCATCTTCCTCCTCAACCAAGTCGAGGCTATGGAGGACTCCTCAAAAGAAAATGCAAAGCAACATATATGTCATCGAGCGCATCGGTCCCGCAGGGGGACCCTCCCGGCCGCGTCTCGCAGGATTTTGCAGGACTTTTTCGCAAGGGAGCTTTCGCACCTCTCACGAACCCCTACGACAGGATAGAGGTCGTGCTAGGAACAACCTACCTCTGCCCAAGGGGCTGTCACCACCCTTGGACAAGTGTATCCCCGCGAGATACTGAACCACATGTGAAAGTTGCTCGAGTGCAATTGCAGAGGTGGCCCGACCGAGGGCGTTTCTCGTCGTTGTAACATAGGGGGCCCGACCCGTACGTGAGCCGACGTTTTGGACGCTGATTTCCCAAGTGCAACTTTGCGCGGGTCAACTAGGATTGTCCATCTAACCACGTGATACACTTCATAAAAATAAACCAAACTTCATACGTAAATCCCGTCGAGTTCCTTTTTCACATCCGACCTATAACCTTTTGACAACAAAAATAGATGGGCGCCGCGCACGAGACTCTAAATAAATGTCTCAGCGACGTAGGCCTTGTCATATTGACTAGCCATCCATGAATACAAGCACGCAAGGATGGCGTACTATGCGCTACCCATGACCACACGGACTTCAATAATTTTGAGGGCCACCTTCGACATGCAAGTGTCGGTTGACACACGTCTTGAGAGGTTAATCTCTTGACGTAAGACAATCGCAATTGTGATTGCAAGACCTATCCTCTTCTGCACCCTGTGCGAGTGAGGCGTTCGGATAGGTCAAGGAGTTTGACTTTGACGGCCACCACAAACTTCATTGGCCAACTATAAAAAATATAAAGAACAAGAATAAAAGAGAATCCCTCGTTTCTCTTAATACGAATTTGCTCAATCTTTACGCATGGTCAAAGTAGAACGCGCGGTTACACAAGATATAATTACGATGAGGTTATAAGACACGAGGCGATCACTCTCACAATCACAGTGTGACTTCCTTTCAAATATAGAAATGATCGTAGACAAAGGTCAAATCTGGATTCCAGAATCAGAAAACATACCTGCCATAACACAGATTTAACATCGACAGATCACACACTACACGGGGTCAACTTCAACCACTCTCTGCACTCACTCTCCTTGCCTTATTCACACAAGCCCCAACCATTGTCCAACCTTCGAAAAGAAAACACTGGGTTCTTTTTAAATGGACATTTAATAAACGTTCGGGTAAAAAAAAAAAAAAAAAATTCAACGCACAGGGGCCAAGGCCCTAGGTTGAGTTGTGAGAATGAGTTTGAAGTTGAATCTTAAACCGACCTGTTATTAGATGATAACAATAGATGATCCTCGCAGCACCGGCTGAAACTATTTAGATCTTGAATTGAAATGACCAAAGAAGACCGGTTACACAACACAGACCAATTTCCAAAGCTAAATTTTAAGTGTATGGAGAATAA